ACAGCCGCCGGAGCGGCCTCCTGCTGCAGCTCCATGGCCGAAAGGTCCTCCGGCCGCGAACCACCCTGCCTGATGGAACTTGGGGCCCGGAAAACATGTCTGCCATGTGATACCAACCAACCTGTGAGGGGCTACCGGCGCCACGTACTTTTTCCGATCTCTCTTCAAAACGAACACAAAGTCGTACGGACAAAAAGAGACTCGAGTCTCTCAAGTCCAAGACTCGTATCACGGGATTGACACAGACAGTGGCACAACCCCAAGACTTCACTTGGAAGCGATGCAGAAAAACAAAAAAAATGCGGCGCCAGCTTGACACCTTAGCAATCCATAGGCCGATCCAACCCAGTCCTTAGCGCGGCGCACGAAGTCCTTGCGCAGCTTCCCGAAATCTTCGCCCACGGCTTCGCTGAAGAGCGCGATGTGGAGCTGAGCCAAGCGAGCGGAGGGGCGGAGGGGCGGAAGGAAGGCTTTGGGGCGGCCGGTGCCTCAGCTCCGCTGGGGGTGGCCTTTTTCAGGGAGGACCAGAGGAAAAGCCTGGTGTTTGTTGTTTGTTTCTTGTTTTGTGTGTGTTTTTTGGGAGGGAGGGGTTCGGTGCCCTTCCAACAATGGAAGTGGACAGGAGGCCTTTTCAAAAGGACTGTTGTCTTCCAAAACCCTCCTGGAAAGAGAGAGGGGGGCTACCTTTTGGGTAGTTTGAAAGGACAACGTTTGGGGCTCTCGTTTTACCCAGAATCCTCCGCGGATTCTGAAGCAACAATGACCCCCGACCCAGAGTTCCGGCTCCCCGGAATCGACAACCACGTGCAGCCTGCGTTTTTTGGGGGGGGGTTCCAGCAAGTGCCAATGACACACGGTTTCTTGACACAACCCCCCCTCCCCCCCCAAGAAAACCTCGCACCCTCCCAGATCTGGAAAGGTGTAGCCCCCGCATTCGTCTCGAATTCGTGTTAGTGCAAAACACCCGAACGCGATCCCATCCTGCGTGAGGTTGGCTTTGGCGCCTGGGCTGGGCCAAACGCGGCAACGTACATGAGCTTACAAGCCCCAGCCCGAAAGAAAAGCAAAAGTGGTACCACCACTACCAGCGCCGCCACCAGCACCACCGCCGCCACCGCCACCGCCGCCGCCACCGCCACCGCCACCGCCACCGCCACCGCCACTCATGCTATTGGGGGGGGAGAGTGACGGTGCTCGCTGACGCTCATGCTCCAGCACTGACATCCGCGGATGGGAAGGGTGGGGGGGGGGTGTGAGTCCCAAGCGGAGGCACTTGATTTTTGAGGAGCACATGTCCGCTATGGTAACGGCGCTCCATTGCCCTGGAATGGAGGGGGTAATGGCAGTCTCGTAGAGCGCACCGCAAGGGTTCATCTACTGTGACGTGGTTTTCTACCGTACGTGAGAAGGGCCTTGAGCCAAAATGCAATGAAACACAGGGGGCTGGGGGGGTGCGGGCACGCATGAATTCCTGGAAGCCGTGCATGTGTAGGTGCGTCGGGAAGTGCGTGGGTGCGTGGGTGGTTGGGTCCGCGAGCGCGTGGATGCGTGGGTGCGTCGGGAGCTGCGTGGGTGTGTGATTGCGTGGGTGCCTGGCTGCGTGGGCGAATGGGTGCGTATGTGAGCACGTGTTTTGTGGGCGGAAAGGTGCGTCCGTGCGTGCGTGACACAAAAGCAGGTCACAAGCGACAAAAAAAGCAGGTCACAAGCGGCAAGAAGAGGTGGTCACAAGCGACCTACCGCCCCCTCAGTTGCCGGGTCTTTTTCAGCAATCACTGGATTTCACATTGAACGTTGCATCTGACTGGTGGGCTGATTTTGCTTGAGGGAGCTGTTTCTCTGTGGATGTGTACCCAGCCACTAACATGGGAGCCTCACAGGTCCTGGAAGAAAAACAACCTTTGAACACAAGGTGAGCCTTCTGGCAGTGTCGAAAACTTGTAAGGCCCCTTGTCGGCGAGTCTTTAAAAAAGGAAACCAAAAAAGGAAACCAAGAGGAAGCGCGGGCCTGGGGTGTGCCCAATTTAGAGAGACGGCCACCCCCATGGAGTTACGCCCTTTTTGTTATTTCATCCGAGCAGCGCAGCGACTCCAAGACCTGCGCCCGGGCTTCTGCCAGCCTTTCTCGCACCGTCTCCACCGCCTGACGAACATGGACGTCATGCGCTTCCCGGGAAGTTCCTTTGTGGGCGGCTCGTCGTTCTTGAGCCGCCGCCCCCCCCCCCCCCCCCCCCCCCCGTGTTTTTGCTTTGGTGTTGAACGGAAACCAAGCGGATTTGAGGCTGATCTTACAAAAAACACGCCCATGTGTGCTTAAGATGTTCAAATGCAATGCTCGATTTCAACCCACCTATGGTCAAGGGTTGACTCCCCATTCCCTTCAACCATCGTTCCTGTCACACAACCGCTTTTCCTGGAGTTGTCCCGCTTTTCTGCAGATTTTGTTTGAGGGGCCAAAAAAAGCATGTGCTTTTCGTTCTCAGCGAATCCCCATTTGGGTTTGTCGGACTCCCACGAATTTCTTCGTCCCACGTCCGGACTCTACCGAACTCCCCCCGGCGCCTGCGCGATGTCTTGGTTGGTGGCGATGGACAGCGCGCCACGGTCGCTGTCCAAGCCGGCGCCGTTCCTCGGAGCCCGCAGCCCGAACCAAAGGGGAACATGGGTGTCGGTCAAAAATAGGGTAACCCCATATAGAACCCTGGTAAGTGGAAACGTGGACCAAAGCCTGCGGTTCCCTGGTGGTTTAATTTTGACCCACACCCACATGCGAACATAGCTCCGCCAACAAGATGAAACGGTAAACTGTTGGCCCAAAGGCACAACGGCGTCACCGAAAATTGGCTTTGAGTCTCCATTCCTTTTGGTGTGTGGGCCCGAAAAACAGGGTCCTGAAAGGTGACCTCTGACTCGGAATTCCGGGCTCTCAAGTCCCTGTTAGACCAATTGAATCCAGTATTCCATGGAGATAATGGGAACGCCCATTGGAAAGCTTCAATCAGCTGAGTTCACTCGTGTTGTCGCGTTCCAAGTTTCATGTCCACATAGCGGCCTGCAGAAGGGACGACCTGGCGTGGGGGTCATGTGAGAGCCCGTTTGGGGGCCCCTCATGTTCTGCCCTCAACAAAAAGCAGATTGGGGGAGTGAGCCCCCTTTTCCTGGTGGCAAGTCGGTAAGCGATCCTATCTGCAGGAGCGCGCCAGCCGCAAGAGTGAACCATGTTCTTCAATAAGAGCCGGCAACCTAACCAGGCACCTATCCCAAGTTTCCACGACTTGAGTGGAGATGATGATGAAGTCCAATTGATCATCACAGCAACGAACAGCAACTGAAAATATTCCAACAGCGCGCAAAAGCTATTGGTTGCTGCTCAGACACGCACTCACACACACACAGAAACCTCATGACTTGATTTCATGTCGACTTCTTCCCCAAGACAAGCCATGGCCCAAGTTTTCCCAACGCGCCTGGCGCAGCCAAAGGATGGAGGCGGCCAAGCAGATTTTCATGGCCTCGGGGAAACCTCGGGCGCAGTGCCGCAGCGAGGCGGCTGGCTCGTGTTCTTTTGGGAAAAGCGAGCAATATACGAGATAAACCACAAAAGGAGGCTGGCACAGCCAAAGTCAAATCCCGGTGCAGTCAAGCCGCGTATGTATCGGTTGCGCAGACTCAGGGCTCGCTTGAGCCGAGTGGCGGCCCTGTTCCCATCCACAATCTGGTTTCCGATGCTTGACGTCAAGCTCCGAAAGACCAAGTCGGACAGAAATTTGTCCGCTCAAAGCAAAGCGTGAGTTGAAAATAAAGATTCTCCAGAATGGTCCCCTTCCTAGCCTGGCAGGGCCTTGAAGGGTCATGTTGGCAGCTGCCCTAGGTGCCACCTTTTAAAGGGGATAGGAAGGGGCACAATTTTTGAACCCAAACAAATGTGATGACGTCAAAAACTGGAAGAAAAAAAAAGGCCTCTCATGCCAATCACCCCTTGACTCATTCCTTCGCCAACCAGTCCTTTGGCCCCCCACTGGCTCGGAACCCTTAGAGGTTCTGCTCAAACCCTCGAACCCCTCCAGAGTGCCTAGGGTTTGGTTCTCAAGCAACCCCTCCCTGGTGGTGGTGCGGGGGGGGGGGGAGGGGCTGCGACCGGGGGACGGTTCATTGTACCCTTTGCGCCGGGACCCCCGGCTGCTCCAACGTGGAGGCCAGGGCGCTCTTCAGGGTCAAGGTGTCGGGGTGCCTGGGGCCCATGGTGTCCTCCAGAACCTCCGACATCAGCGAGGCTGGTGCTCGGATCGGCAGAAAAACCGAAAAAAACTGAGCTCAATCAGGTTCTTCCAAAGTTCTTCAGTGCGAAGTCCCTCCTGGTGCTTCTCTGTTGCTACTCTTTCATTCCCAGTGCGGATTGACAAGAAGGCCGTCCTGCGCAGACCAAGCTTGCAGGATGGGAGCTACCCAACAAGCGTGTTCAAACATAGAGGGCCCCACCGAATGGGCAAATATGCTCCATGCCTTTCGCAGCGGCCTTCATCGATTCTTCCTTAGACCACTTCATACCTCACGACTCTGCAACTGACTGTTTTGGGGATGCCGACGTACAGGACCTACGTCATAGTGAGCTTGTGAAAAATCGGAAGAAATCTGGTAATCTGGTGGGAGGTTGAGCACGCAAATGTCTCGCCTCCAGCGTCTGCCGCTGCAGCGAAGCTGCCTGGACAAGCAAAAGGAATCCGTGCTCTTTTGGTTGCTTGAAATTAACTGGCTTGCTTGTGTTTGGTTGATTGGTTGGTTGGCTGGTTTGTTGGTTGGTTGGTCAGTTGGTTGGTTGGCTGGCTGGTTGGTTGGCTAGTTTGTTGGTTGGCTGGCTGGTTGGTTGGCTGGTTGGCTGGTTTGTTGGTTGGTCGGTTGGTCGGTTGGTCGGTCGGTTGGTCGGTTGGTCGGTCGGTCGGTTGGTCGGTTGGTCGGTTGGTCGGTCGGCTGGTTGGTTGGTTGGGTGGTTCGGTGGTTGGGTTTATGTTTGGGCTTGGGCTTGGGTTTGGATGGCTGGCTGGCTGGTTGGCTGGCTCAAAGCTCTGTGGACACCCATGCCCAAACCAAGCCGCTCTGTTCTCTGCATGTCAACCCCAGAAGGCTGCCACTGAAAGTGCTCTTGAACCTCTTGAAAAGGGTGTGTCTCATGACCTTGCGGTTTCGGAAGCACACACAAAAACTCCTTCCGAATGAAGCCAAAACGGGACCCTGGAAGGCCCCCAGATTTCACACCGCTATGCTGGCAAAGTTCCGGAGCCTTGCTTCCAAGCGAGCTAGGGGGCGCGCAACAGATCCTTCCCGCGGGTGGTTCTCAAACTATCCGTCTCCGACTCTCCACTTTTTGACAACCAGCCGGGTGTTTTTCTTCACAATGATGGACCCCTTCGGATGGTTGGCTTGCTGTTGGTCTCCGAAAACCGCTCAAGCGGGGACCCCTATTTTGAGAAACGCCCAAATGAGTGAAGCTAACCTGAAAGGTGGGAAGCCAATGGCCTCACGGTATGGCACACGCCGAAGGGCCCCCGAGCAACTCGGCCTCTTGATAGCGGCCTTGCTGATGCAGCATGCTCGCCTGATTTTCGGGCAGACTGCCACTGCCAGACTGCCACCTCAAGCGAAACTGGGGTATCTAACTCCACTTTAGTCGCCAGACAAGTCCCACAGATACTCATCGCGCTTTCACTTGGGAAGTAAGAGCAGGGTTTTGGAAGTCCTCTTTGAGAGCCGCCAACCATCAATCGAGACGCAGGTGATTCCGCCATGAAATGAAATGAAATGAAATGAAATGAAATGAAATGAAATGAAATGAAATGAAATGAAGGGAAATCAAGGGAACTGGAGGGAAAACGCAAGGAAATGAAGGAAAATCAAGGGAACTGAAGGGAACTACAGGAACTAGGACCACGGCTCATATTCCGCCGTGACTCGAAATGGCAATTCGCTGTCTCAAGTCAAGCCTGGAACGTGATTTCCACTGGGAAATGCCAACGAATCTCCACCTTGAATGGTTTCCATGCGCTTGCGCGCTCTCTCCAAGCAGGGTTACCATTTTCGCCGGTTTTTGCCAGTGAAAAGAAGGATTTTGTTCCTCGCAAACTAGCGTGAAATCGGCAAGGTGCACTGGTTTTTCTCACTCAAACACCGACCGCGTTTCTGATTACAGCAAACCTTCCAAATCAGCCAAGAACTCGCCAGGGCTTCGAGCACCTAGCGTTTGCCGCCAGCTCCACTGGAAAACCTGCTGTTTCGAGGACGTGGCTGGGAACAAGACGCAGATGAAGTGCAAGGTCCAGCGGCGGCCATGGCTGGATTCGGCGCCAGTGCAGCGGGAAGCAAGCGAAGACCGCTGAGACGGCAGGAGACGACGTGCAGACAGGAAGCAAGCGTAGCTAAGCGATGAGGTGCAAGGCCCAGACGCCGACTGCAAACAAGCAGTACACCGACCAAAGCAAAGGCAAGCAAGGACCGAGACAGTCGAACTCCAAAGGGAACCGATGAGGAATCAGCACAACCTCAGCCACGAAAGCCAGGAACGGGTCAGCAGTTTGCGTGACCACGTCAAAAAGAGAGTCTAGATATATCGGACAAACCTCAAAGAACGGACCAAGGCTTGAGTGACCACGCAGCCAGTGCGAACAACCGCTCAGCGCAACGAAGAACCAAGATCAGACCCAAAGCCAGACGAGCGTCTTCACACAAGAACATCTGAGCCAAAACTAACAGCGAACGTTGATGCAGTCCCCACGAACGACAACATCCCCCCCCACCCCCCCCACCCCCCCAACCCCAACCAATGAGACCGACAAAGCCACAGTCAGAAAAAATGCTGTTTGACGCACGGCGGAATATAAGCCGTGGTCCAACTACAGGGCAATGAATTGAATTGAAATTTACGGAAAATGAAGGGAAATGGAGGAAAATCAAATGAAATGAAGGAAAGTGACAAGACATTAAAAGAAGGGAATGAAAGGAAACTAAGGGAGATGAGGCGAATGAAACGAAATGAAGGGAAGTGAAGGGAAATGAAGGGAAATGAAGGGAAATGATGGGAAATCAAGGGAGCTGCGAGGAAATAAAGGGGGAAATAAAGGGGGAAATGAAGGGAAAGGAAGGGAAAGGAGGGAAACGAAGGGAAACGATGGGAAATGAAGGGAAATGACGGGAAAAGAAGGGGCAAGGTCCTGTGGATCCCCTATGACCCTATGAATCCTTCGCACTCCTTCGGTCCATGAAGTTCACCACCCCTCCCTCGTACCCCATTCGCCCTCTCGCCCGATCGAGGGCGCGGGCCAGGTTGTGGGCGGCCACCAAGGTCTCCACGTTGGCCAGGCCCAAGGTGCGCCGCCGGATCGCCAGGGTCTCCTTCGCGCGAGCGCTCACGGAGCGCGCGGAAACCGGGTCGAGCCGTGTCTTGGGCCGAGCCGATCCACGAATTGTCAAGCGCGGAAGAGGTGGCGCGCGCTTTCCGGATTTTTTCGCTTGGTTGATTCACGCCCGTCTCAAGGGAAACCTGGACGAAAAATAACTGTGTTCTGGAGGGAAGGCCGGTTGCGGGGGGTGATAAAAAGGTACATGGAATGACCATTGGGGAAAGCACCAGAAGAAGAAAAAAAATGTTTACCTTTTAATGAAAAAAGCTGCGAATGGTCATTTGGGGCCCGGACGTTTCGGGGAAAAATATAATAAATACAAAACTGCCCCAGTGGACTGCCGCGCTTGCCTTGGAACCTCTGGGTTCCGAATCCGAAATTCGCCTCAAACCCATCGGTCCTGCTGAAAGTGGATGGCCTCCACCTGCTTGCCCTCGACTCGACGGGGGCGAAAACCCCTTGACTGGCGCGTCCGGAAACGTCCAAACCTCTCGGTGGATCGCTCCGGCTGGTGGGTATACGGCATAAATAACACCCAACCTTTGCGATCCGGATCAACCAAACACCGGCGATCCGTGGAATAGATGGGGTCGTCTTGTGAGGGACTGCCCTGGACCTTTCGTTCGACCAAAAGGTCGTACCTCCGATTGAATTTAGTGTTTGGAAGGCGGCTGGTTTCCAGAAACCCCCACAAGAACCATCGGTGCACATCACACCAATCCAAACCCAACCCAACCCCCACACCCCAACCCAGCCCACTCGTGGCATGGCATTCCTTCAAAATGCAAACCTCATACGAAGGTTTGTCAAAAGTGGGGCCCCTTTTGGTTCCCCTTTACAAGGCGGCCTTGTCCAGGTCCCAACAGCAGGTTTGACAACACAAAATTATGGTGAATCCCTTCCAAATCTGCCCCTGCCAAAAGTGTTTGCTAACCTTTACCGGGTTAAACGGAAACCCAACAACTAAACCAACTCAAACCCAAAAGCCTTAAACCAAAAAAAAAGAAAAAAGAGCCAACGGCCAGAAACCCGCCCAGAAAAAAAAAGAAAAAAAAAACATGCATCCCATGCGCCTGCATATGCAGCGCCGCCGCCAGGTTGTTCACCGTGCACAGCACGTCCGGATGCTCCGGGCCCAGCAGCTGCCGCTGCACCGCCAGCGCCCCGGCTGCCACCTGCGCACTCTGTCGGGGGGGGGGGGGGGAAAGGGGAAGGGGGAAGGGGGGGTTTGACCACCTCAAAGAAGAAACCCTGGGTGACCAACCGATTTCCGCGGTTCTATCAGCACCTTTTCCGAGAACTACCTATGTGTTCTTCTGCCGTACTGGGAGAACTCCTCTGGGCATTTGCAGCACCAGCACGTGGCGGTTGCAGAATTGTTTTGGGGCCAGGATGGGTGTAGGCTGGGTTAGGGATGGGCTTGGGGACTAGCAAGTGGTTGGTTTCGGGTTGGTTTAGGGTGTCGGTTAGGTGTGGCGGTTTAGGTTGTTGCTTCCCGGATGTGGGAAGCCGTGAAGCAACCCACCAAAACTCCAGCGAGACCCTTCAAGCGGGAAACTCAAAGCGGCGAGCCTCGGCAGACTCCTGGTACTTGCCATCTTCCTGCAACAGCGCCGCCAGATTGCTGGCCGCAATCAAGGCATCCGGGTGCTCCTGCGCGACCCAAGGCCTAGGGCAGTTCAAAGAAGTTTGTGGGGCCACGGAGCTCAAGGACATTTACTTCACGCGCCAACCTCATCACAGGGGAGTCTGCGGTAAGTCGCGGCGGCGTTGCCATCCCTGCCCCTGGACCATGTCAATGCTTCCAGCAGAAATACCCATAAACCCCTCAGCAAGTAACGGAAAGTCTTTTTCATCAGGGCCATGCTCCAGCCGATGTTTTCATGTGACGCACAGTCCTCTCCCGCGAATCGCTTCATGACCGTCAGCGTCTGGCGAGCCATCGTCGTTGCCTCCTCGCGCTTGCCTGAAGCATCACGTTTGCAGCGCTGATCGGCTACTGGGTGCATTGGGACGTTCAATCCACCTGCCATCTTCGCGAAACTTTCGCGAAAGGAGCCTTTACTCTTTATCTTTTGTCCTTCCACCCTGCAATCCGCCGACAACAGGCGGCGTGTTGGACATGAGAAATGCTCCTTACCTCTTTACCTGTTGCTTACCCCTTTTTAGGGGCATGGTTTCACACTATTGCGGGGGGGGGGGTGGTCCCACGGGCCCCCCCGTGATTCCAAAACGTTCCACTAAATGCTGCTGCGGAACACAGTTGCGTAAAAACATTGGGGTGTTTCCCCCCTGACATCTTCTCCCTTTTCCTCCCTAAGATCCTTCCCCCCCTTTCCCTGTTGAGATCCTTTCCCCCCTTTCCCCCCTAAGGCCTTTTCCCACCCTGAGATCTTCTCCCTTTGCTCCCAAAGATCTTTCCTTCCACCCTAAGGCCTTTCCCCCCCTGAGATCTTCTCCCTTTTCGTGCCCAAGATCTTTTGCCGCCTTTCCCTGTTGAGATCCTTTCCCCCCTTTCCCCCCTAAGGCCTTTCCCTGAGGCCTTTGTCCCCCAACAAGATCTTTCCCTTCCCCCCCCCCCCCCCCCGCCGATCTTCTCCCCAGTTCCCCCCCTAAAATCTTTTTCCCCCCTTTCCCCCGAAGATCTTCATTTCCTTTCACTTTCCTTCACTTCAGCTCATGTCCCTTTATGTCTGTGTTTGCTCCCTTTCTTTCCTTTCACTTCATGTCATTCATTTCCATGCAGTTTCCTTCATTTCCAGATGTTACCAGCATGGGCAACATCCCCAGCATCACTTTCATCATCCGCATCCTTGGCAGGCGCTGATGCGGATGATGCAGGTGATGCTGGCGATGTTGCCCAGGAGGTGCTGAGGATGCAAAAACGGACCCGGGGGGAATCGAAGGCCTTAGGGGGAAAAGGGGGAAAGGACCTCAACAGGGAAAGGTGGGAGAAGATCTTGGGGAGGAAAAGGGAGAAGACCTCAGGAAGGAAAAGGGCTTAAGATCTCAGTGGGGGAAAAGGCCTTAACAGGGAAAGGGGGCAAAAGATTTTTGGGAGGAAAAGGGAGAAGATCTGAAAAGGCCTTAGGGGGGAAAGGGGGGGAAAGGATCTCAACAGGGAAAGGGAGAAAAGATCCAGGGAGGAAAAGGAAGAAGATCTCGGGGGGAAAGGGGGAAAGGATCTCAACCGGGGGAAAAGATGTTGGGGAGGAAAAGGGATTAGGGAGGAAAGGGGGGAAAGGATCTCAACAAAAAAAGGGAGGAAAAGGAAGAAGATCTTGGGGGGAAAAGGTCTTAGGGGGGGAAAGGGGGGGAAAGGATCTCAACCGGGAAAGGGGGGAAAAGATCTTAGGAAGGAAAAGGGAAAAGATCTCGGGGGAAAAAAAAGGGCTAGGGGGGAAAGGGGGGAAAGGATCTCAACAGGGAAAGGTGGCAAAAGATCTTAGGGAGGAAAAGGGAGAAGATCTCAGGGGGGGAAAGGCCTTAGGGGGGAAAGGGGGGAAAGGATCTCAACAGGGAAAGGGGGGGGAAAGATCTTAGGCAGGAAAGGGAGAAGATCTGGGGGGAAAAGGCCTTAGGGGGGAAAGGGGAGAAATGATCTCTCTTAGGGAGGAAAGGGAGAAGAAAGGCCTTTTGGGGGAAAGGGGGGAAAGGACCTGAACAGGGAAACGGGTGGAAAGATCTAGGGAGGAAAGGGAGAAGATCTGGGGAAAAAAGGCCTTAGGGGGGAAAGGGGGGGAAAGATCTTTGGGAGGAAAATGGAAATCCTTCTCGGGGGGGAAAAGGCCCTAGCTAGGGGGGAAACGGGGGCAAAGATCGTAGGGAGGAAAAGGGAGAAGATCTCAGGGTGGGAAAAGGCCTTAGGGGGGAAAGGGGGGAAAGGATCTTAACAGGGAAAGGGGGGGAAAGATCTTAGGGAGGAAAAGGGAGAAGATCTCAGGGGGGAAAAGGCCTTAGGGGGGAAAGGGGGGAAAGGATCTCAACAGGGAAAGGGGGGAAAACATCCTAGGGAGGAAAAGGGAGAAGATCTCCGGGGGGAAAAAGGCCTTTGGGGGGATCTCAACAGGGAAAGGGGGGCAAAGATCTTAGAGGGGAAGGGGGGCAAGGGGACAATTCCAAAAGGACGCAGATAAGAAAGCAGGCCTGTCATGTCGGCGGCCTGAGCCGGAGGCGCAAAAATATCATGACTCTTACTCAGTACATAGATGATCACATCTGGAGAGCCAGGTGCGTCTCACAAAGCCTTCGCACAAACGAGAGCGAACTGCGCATGAGAAGCAAAGGAGTCGACCGTCTACTTTCGATCAGCTGCAATGGGCTTCAACAGCGTCACAAGTTGTGTGCCAAAAATGCTTGTTCGATGGAAAGCTCGTCTCCCTCTCTCACCTCTCTGCGTCTGTGAAATACTCACCCATGACACTCTGCATGAAGTCGGCCGCTTGGAAGGAGGTGATATCCGAAAGAGAAACACAGAGCTCTCCCCGCCGCCCGATTTGTTGTTGTCTTTTCTTGCTGGTGCGTGCTCAGCAGGGAATGGGAAATGGAATGACCCCAAGATAAACCATCCCTTGCTGGTGGTTTCCTTGAAGGGGACCAAAGCCTAGGTCCATTCCCACATTCCCCACCGACTTCGCACCGGCCAGAAAAACTCTTCAGCTCAGGCGCCCAACAAGCTCAAGGTGCTCGCCAAGTTATTGGCAGAGATGATGGCGTCCGGGTGCTCCTCAGGGCTTGGGCCGCCGGCTGGGCGGCTCTGGCTTCCCCTTTTCGCGTCAATCAAACAACCCCGAGCCAAAAGAAATGGTCCGCAACTTGAGCCCATCTCGCCCAGTTGACATCGGAAAGAGTGGAGGAAAAGAGCACCAGATTGAATGGAAGCTGGCAACTCAATAAGACTAGGGCTTCGTACCGATGCATGGAAGGGGCCATACATTCAACTACATAATGGTACTGGTGAACAGCTCATTGCAATCTTCAAAACATGGAGTAGAAAGAAAATGGAACTTCACCTGCAAAAATGTGATTGATGTGTTTGAAAATGTCGGTGGAGCTTTCATCCTCTCGAAATAAGACCCACTATGCAACAGCACAACGTAGGGGCTATGGCCAACCCTGGAAAACGAAGTGATCCATAACTTTCCCTATTTACTCGACGTCTTTTTTGGTGATGTCGTTAATTGTCATCCCATGTAAAAGCGATGTTGATCAACCCCAGGTACGAGGATCCCACAAGTATGCCCATCTTTAGACCCTGGCGCTGCCTTGTGCCGCCGAAAACTAAAACGGGTGGATTCCCTTTTCCCTTTGAACCCACCCACGAGGGAAACCCCAAGGCAAGGAAGATCTCAAACTTAACCCAAAAAAATGGCCTAGCTTCCACTCTGGTCTCCAACCCAACCAACCCTCCAAAAAATACAACCAACCAACCCCCAAATTTGCGACCCACCCAACCAACCCTGCGAAAAAACAACCACCAAAACCAACATGCTTTACGTCCTACCCAACCAACCCACAAAAAAAACAAAAAAACACTTCTGAGTTCCAAGAGGCTCCAGTTATTGGTTTCGTTTTCTTCCGCCAGAAGGGGCTCCTTGCCGAGGGCCCGCCACTGCCGCGCCAGCGTCTTCCGCTGCAACGCCACCGCCTCCTCGTACCTTGGTGGCATCGGCTTCGGCGAGGCGCCGAAGCCTCGGCGTCGGCTTCGGCGCTCTACGGCGCTCTAGGCGTGGCGCGGGGTTCGGCCAAAAACCAACCCATGGGGGGCTTCTTTGCAAAAAAAATGCGCTAGTTCTGGTCAAAAGCATTGAAAAAACAAATATACGCTAGTGTGAAAGAGTCTTCCTTGAACAAACCTGCCACGACCATGACAACAGTGTTCGGTCTTGAACGCTTTTTTGTTCAACGCCTTAAACACTCAAACACTCTTCGTGTTCGTTCTTACTAGTTCTTAACAAAACCAAAAGCACAAAAGCATGCCACAACAAAGAGAGGAAGCAAATTGGAACTAGCACTTGTTGCATCGTTTTCATGGGGGTTCCCCCTTTTTGGTCAGCCGATTCCTTGAAGCTCTGACGGGACACGGTCAACTGACGAAGTCAAGGGTGCTAAAATTCGGGGTCTGGACAATGTGCCATAGCACCCAGAGGGACAAGAATCCAAGCTAATACAAGCTTCGGGTTTTGGTACGTTGAATATATGTTCATCATGTAAGGTAAGCTAGAACTTGTGTAGAAGCTATTTGAAGTATTTCTGGGTTAAAGGGTTGAAGCCGTTCTTTCAGTGAGGCCAACCACACATCAGTGCTCCCGATACCAAAATTGCAATCGCGGTGATCCAGAAGCAAACCCGCCACCTGCACCTTTGACCAAAAACCCCGCGGCTTGTCTCTGCGCGCATCCTTCTCCCGGTCCTCCAAACCTCTCAGGTCTTCGTTTTTTGCGGGAGTTCGGAAGCCAAATGACCAAGCTCATCCCAGCCAAGCAAACCACAAGCCTTGCCGCGGAAAAGTCGAGGTTTCAGTGGCTCGTGTCTCAAACAAATTTCTAGCCCTGGAAATTTGGGAGCAGCCAGCCCCCCCCCCCTTCCCCACCTCGCCTGCCCATCTCCCGCAGGGAGCTCGCCAGCACCGTGGCGATCCGCAGGGAGGAGTTCTTTCCCTCGGAGCGCCGCAAGGCGCGCCGCGCCCGCTGGGCCGCCTCCTCGTAGCGGCCCACCTGAGACGTCAGCCCCCCACTGGGCTGGCCGGGGGGTCAGGGGAAAATCAGAGTTGGTGTCATTGGTTTGCCTGAACCACAAGGGGTCGCAAAAAAAAACGCAACCAATTCTCCAGCTTGGACCATTCAAGGTGGTAGGCGGGACGTAGCGGAAAACGTGCAGCACGATTTGCAGCTTTTCGGCCCCCTTGTTGGAACATGTTCAGAGGCTGAGAAACAAAACTTGCCCACCACCGCCTTCAGTGGAACCCCGGAACTGCCGATATCCGATTTACCTCTCAAAACCAACCAAAACCAACCTCATGAATCACCCACCAAACCTCCCTCCGCCTTGGAAGAATTGTCCCCGCCAAACCTCCAAACCTCCCCAGCCAACCTCCAGCGTCCAAAGTCCACAAACACCCCACACACCTCTCCCCGACCTCCGCACCGCTACGTGCAGGACGACTCCTTCGCCTCGTGCAGGGCGCAGACCAAATTCTGCGTGGCCCAGCGCCGCCAGGCGGTCCGCCGCCGCCACCGGAGCCGCGCCGCCAGGGCCTCCGCCAGCGCCAGCCGGGCCACGCCCACATAGTCCTCGAGGAGAAAGGAACAAATCGACCCCCCCCCTCCCCCCGGATTGGACACGGCCCTTTTTGGGCTCACCGGGAATTGTGTTCGGGTTTTTGAAAGTGTTGGACACGGCCCTTTTTGGGTTCACCGGGAATTGTGCTTGGGGTTTTCGAAAAACAAATGGATGTTTAGATAAAAACTGACATTGGATGTTTTGACATTGGATCTTGTGGGGGGATCCTGGTTTTCCGTGGGTTTTTGTCCGGAGACAAGGAGGGAACCCAGAAAGGTGTCCATCTTCATGTGCGGACCCTGTTCTGTGTTGATTTCTCTGCCTCTTGCTTGTTTTAAACTGAGAAGGAACCCCAAAAAGGTGTCCAGATTTTCAGATTTCGTTGGTTTGGGGGGGGAACAAAATGTTATTGGTTTGTGCAAGGGGCGGAATCACAAAGCAAAATACAAAACATATCCTTGTGGTTTTTCCTGCTAAACAGGGCTCCCCAAGCCGGCCCAACACCCCACCCACTCACCCGCCCAACTTAGCAAGTACTTGGATATTCAACCGACGTAGATTTCCATGGCTCCTGCATTAATTGGGGATCGTCCGAATGGGCTATGAGCTGCGTGGCTGAAACTTCCAAGTATGGGCAAGCTATCCAAAATAAAAACATGGCGCCCATTCATAGGGTTTCATCCACCTCCCGCAAATAGGTAGAACCAAATGTCATCCTCGGAATCCGGATTTCAGGGGCTCCTTTTGAGTAAAGGAGCCATCTATCTTGGCCTACCAACCCTTGGCATGGTGGCAAAAACGTTGTTTCTTGCAGCCCCTACTCACACACCAGCAAGAAAAGCGATCCTGTGGATGGGGAGAGCTGGGCTGTGGTCAAAATTTGACTTGCAAGTATGGATGGCAAAAAAACACATCCGGCAAATGAAGAAGAAGAAAAAAGCAAGGGGCCCAAATATTTGCTCGGTTCATTCCACGTTGCCGTCCGATGTCGACACCGATGGGTCGCCCCGCCTGGCCGCAGATCTGGCAGGTGCGCCAGGCCTCCAGCCTTGGCCAGCGGCACTGCGCGAGGCTCACCAGGCACTGGGCGTGCGCCTGGCCGAAGGAGCCCCGGCACGCGCAGACCTGGCTGCGATCGAATACCCGGCGAGCGGACCCCCCCGGGGAGGAAGGCACGCGGGCTCGCCGAACCCCCAAAAAGGAATTGGACCGAAGTAGTCGCTAGAATCGCCCCTATGAGAGTCGGGGGCCCTTGAAAACCAGAGAAAAGAGAGGTAGGCAGGCAGGTGGTTTGAGAGATGCCTGCAAAACCAAGCAGTAAAGTGTTCTTATTTGAGATGTACATATACACCTCCGTAGATAAGCATCTATACATATGTCTGGACATATGGCCATGGGTCAAAATCCCGTACCCTGAGTGAACATCCCAATCCCCACTAAAATAGGTTCTAAAATGGGTGGTGAATTCACCTACCCCAAAATGGTAGTGGTTTTGACAACCACAGCCATATGCGTCCCCGTGGCTTACTTTGGCCAACATGACCCTTGAGGCCAATCCAGGCTGGAGATGGAGGAAGCCTGGAGCTCTATCAGACGTGACTGGACAGAAACCTGGAAACTCCCAGGTTTAGCGTGAGAGAGCGAGCGCGAGGCAAAACGACAGAGAGAGAGAGGCAAAAAGGGAAACAGGGCAAGAGAAAGAGGAGAGAAAGCCACTGAGAAAAAGGAAGAGGAGCAAAGAGAGATAGAGATAGAGACAAAGGTAGAGACGAAGATAGACAAGCAAACAAGTCAATTCGGAACCCTTTCTATCCAGGCGCAATTCCGGCGCGATACCTGCAAAAGCACACAGGACAGTTGAGGCCCATAAGGCGCTTCTGGCCCATGCTTGTAGGGGGAACTCAGGATGTCAGGCGTAAGCATCACTCTCATGTGAACGTCAGTGAAGGTAACAGCCAGTATGATGCGCTGCGGCTTCCCCTCTTCTCTCTTTCTCTCTCTCTCTCTCTCTCTCTCTCTCTCTCAATCTCTCTCTCTCTCTCTCTTTGTTTCTCTCTCTCTCTCTCCCCTCTACCAATCCAACAAAGCAAATTTAACAAGATCAGGTGCTTCTGCTTGTAGCTGCAATCCGGAAACATTGAACAAATGCCCGAAACTGATGTCCTCCCAGACATTTGGTAGTTGCAATGTACACCTTAGATGTTGCAAATCATGGTTTGTTTCCTCCGAACGCATGAGATGCTCTTGCATGACTTCTCCAGCGATTCTTCCTTCACGCCTGGCCGGGAATCAAGCCATCACTTTCCAGGCAGAAGCGGCAGCAGCGCTCATCCATCGAATTGTTGCAGGAGCAACCAAAACCCGAACCCAGTTGGACTGAATGTGCGCCTGCTTCTAAAATGGACCTGTGGAATATGGGATGTGGGATGTTAGGAACTCCCGATTCGATCCGCGTTGGACGGGAAGATCGGAGAGTCAGCATCTCGCTAGGCTACCCCTGAAGTCAAAAGCCACGAGGTTGCGCTGTCAACAGCTGGGGCAATACCTGTTCCAAGCATACTTGGCACAAAGCCTACTGGAAGTCTGATCCACAAGAGCGAGCGTTCATGTCTTGGCAATAGGCTGTTGATTGCAGCAAATCTGTCACTGTTTCATCCGTTCATCCTTGCGTTTGTCACGTTCTGTTGCCAACCATACTCAACCAGAGCTAGCCCCTTCTGCACAAGTCCAGTTGAGCACAATCAAGAGCTGGCATTCAGCGGTGAACCAAAAGTCAAAAATGGCCTTCTCTATTTTTTGTTGCAGTGTGCCTGGCTATACGAATCACTTGCCCGGGTTCTCAAACATGGCACACCACCCTGTTGAGCAACCGAGGGGCTTCATAATCCGCTCACAAGTGAATCGCGAGAAAGAACCGGGTCCGCTGCTGCTCGACGCAACTTGCACAGACTCGCAAAGCTACCGCCGCGTTGTTTCCGTTGGCCCAATTTCATCTATCATCAAGGGCACACTACTAAGGTTGTACTTTGTTTCCTGCGAAACCACCCCCTTTGTCGCTTCATAGACCTGCTATACAGTGTACAGCCTTTGATTCACTGTCAGGTGCTCGAAAACGGGAAACCTCTGACTTGCACAGTTTCTCGTGCGAATCGTAGATTTATGGTTGCCTGCACATCATAAGACAATCATTCCCGGCAGTGTTCGCTGTGGAGGCATCATTTACGAGGATTGCATCATTTACGAGGATTCATGTCTACCAAATCGAAATTGAAAGTGCTTAACCTTTAAGATTCGAATCTAGTTGCCTTTGCCGGGGGGAAAAGAAAAAAAAAAGAGCAACCCCACCCACGGCGGTTGGTGCTCTTCTGACTTCCCTTTAACTCACCCCTAAAAACAGCGCGCATGCTACGCCAGCCACGACCCAAGTTGCTAGGCCGGACCGAGACCTGCGATAAGTCGACCTCATGAAACTTGAAGGAGCACCAATTTGCGTAAGGCTGGAAAGGTCGAACCTAGGTTAACACCTGATTTTATGTGCGCCATATGCCTGCCAAATCTCAAAGTCTGGCAGTGGGTGCCAAGGTCGAAACCAAAATGGACGCCTGGCTTCACCTTGTTGGGTAGGTTTATGGGGCAAACAATTTGCTTCCGAAAGGCCTGAGAAGGTAAGGCCCACGAGGACAATCGTAACCTGTTCTGGGGGTTTGCCCGAAAGACACAACAACTATTCCATCACAAAGGGACTCACACAAAACTGGCAACCGAAAGGTGGATGAAACAACCCAAAGGGTTGGGGAATGTTGCTTTAACAGTTGGGACACACTTGGTTTCCTGGATGCATCTGGGCTTCACGCAGAAAAAGAAAAAAAACGTTTTGCCTGGTGATTTCTCTCGCGTTTGGCTACGGGAACCCTGCATGTTTACCTCTAGGCTTTACCATAGATAGTTAAATATGGTCGCCTGTGGCCGGAAGGATTTGAACGGGAAACCCACCCCAAGAGAAAAAAAAAAGAAGTCTGCAGAATGGCTAGAGGAGCAACCTGCTCGGCAAGGAGCAACAAACCAATTTGGGATTGCTTGGTTCTACTCTCCGGATTTGCATGGGAGCCAAAAACATCCATTTTAGGGGAACTTTGGTGCAGGGTACGTATCCCAAATCTACCTCAGCTTTTGGGCCCCCAAAAGCAATGTGCAATGAACCTTCAAATGTGACTAGCCATTAAACAGTGATGTTGCAAATACCCGAACAGCAGGTCACCAAGGTGTTTGACAAACCAACATTATGCAAGGGATGCAAGTGGTGTCCCTGATACCGCGGCTGGATTCGGCCCAGTAAGCCTGGTCGGTGGAGTGTCCTAAAAGTAGGCGCCTGTCTTTCTTTCTTTCTTTCTTTCTGTCTTTCTTTCTTTCTTTCTTTCTTTCTTTCTTTCTTTCTTTCTTTCTTTCTTTTTTTCTTTCGTTCGCTATTCCTTTTTGTCTTTCGTTCGCTCTTTCTTTCCTTTCTGCTCCTTTCTTTCCTTTCTTCCTTTCAGTTTCTGAGAAGCCGCACTCCGGTGTTTGTTAGTCGGCAAATGTCCTGCAACTTGCATATTCGGCGAATGTCCCCTGGAAGTTCCTGGTTCGCTGGCTGGCTTCTGTGACTTTTTGCCATGCAAAGTGCAAGGTTCCAGACAATCAAAATTTCGAATTCTAGGTCGTAAATTCATGCTTTCAAGAAGCTGATTCTGATGAACGACGTGACTACATACGCTGCTTCAAAAGTGTAAGACACCATTGACAGTGTGAAAGTGACAAGAATAACCTCCCAATTCAGGGCGAAGTGACACAATGCCTCCGATTCTTCGGCGTGACCTGGGATGAATTTGTCTACAACTGGGTCTTGAGGAAAATCTGCATCTGGATCGGATTCTTGCAAATGCGATATCAAACCAGTAGACGAGCAGCCTCGGTGGAATCACCTGCACGTGTGCTTTGTAGCTCTCGATGGGTCTAGATGGGCTGGACATTCCAAAATCACGCCCCCAGGAGTGCAGCGCAGATCTTCACTTCTTTTTAGCTACTCCTTGAGACAGGTTGACATAGTTGTCATGGCTGGATCTGAGATGGTCAGATGGTAAGAATGAACTTGGACTTGGGGAAGTGGGACATGACCACTTAAACTAGCATCATGGGCTCGTCCATGGCAATGGCGAAACCCTTCAGTGTGACCAGAGCCGACTCCAAAAGGTGCCATTGCCAAACAGATAGTGACACCAAGGCGGGCGGAAAGACAGATTATATCCCGTGTGCAAAACTCTGTAACCCAACATGTCAAAGGCGGCGGGCATAGACTGCATGACGGTTCTGGGAGCGCCAACGTCCAGAAACTTGAGCCCCCACGCAACACACAAGAGGAATGGAAAGCGGAAAGCCACGGCGTGAAACGTCATCGTTGACCTGCAAAGATACAACCATCATGCAACTGCCCACAGGCCCAGTTCTGTAGCTGCCGCTGGCGGCTGCCATTCACGGCTTGAGCCGGCATGAACCAGACAGTTGCAACAGGCAAGCTCATGGAGTGAAATGCTGTGCAGACGTGCCAACATGTGCCAACTGCATTGCCTAACCCTGTTGCAACTTGTTGTGGCTGTGTTTGTGTGTGTGTGCGCACTCTCTATGTGTGTCTGTGTGTTTTGGGCGTGTGCAACCCCATGACGCGGGGCAGTAGAACCTGCGCACTTCCTGGCCGCAATCCTCTGCCGGATCGCTGCCATGGCGTCCTTGAGCACGTTGTCCTCACTTGGGGTGTCCCAGAAATCACTTCCCAACAAATGGCAAAACAGGGCCTCAGTTTCCTCATGACTTCCTTCCTTCCTTGATGCCTTCGTGCAGCTTCCTTGCTCTTTCCTACTCAAAAAGGATATCCTGCACCCCACGTGGCAAAGGTGTCCTGTTGGATTGCCCGAAAGAGTCCTGCTTTAACTTTTAGCATGCCTTCTTCCTGCGCAAAAAGGAACGAATGGTTTGAGAGGAAGAAGGGCTGAGGGATGGTAGGGATTTGTGTGCCAACAAAACTGGGGCACCCAAAGGTCATTTGGAGCCTAGCACTGCCACTGTTCTCCACTGAACACACATGAGAAGTTTGCGGGAAGAGAAGGCTCCGAGAAAGTGGACAAGCAGCTTCCAAGATCGCCAATCGATGAAACAGAAAAATTCCTCGAATGAAAATCAAGACGCCGCGATGCACTCCCAAGAGTCGCTCTTTTGGGATTCTCCGTGTGTCGAACCTGTTTGCCTTCCATGGACGGAAGCGTGCGGTTGAAAGGCCCAGGCCTCCTGATAGTCCCAAGCTGTAAACATCAACCGGAGAGCCTCCCTAAAAAAGGTGCTTTTCAAAGCCACCCAAATTGGGGATCCCCTTTTGCAAGACACACCTTCGGCTGGTCTTAGGTGCGAACCGAGGAGGAGAAATCCTCCAAGACCTGGCAATGGATACAAATGCTACAGGGGCAACAGGGATCTAAACTGAATCCGCCGACCCTCTGCCTCCCGTCCCAGCCTCCTGCAGATAGTCCCTGGGAGGCACGCCCGAAAGCACAAAAAGTGGATTCCCAGGACCGGTCCCGGGACCGGTCCCGGGGACCGCTGGTCCCGGCCAGACCGCTTTCAGGACTGGTCCAAGCTCCAGACACCTGTTTCCTCCAGTGTCGGCACCCGTGTTTCAGGACCGGACAGGGTCCCAAGTCCCAGTCCCTCCCTGCGACCGGTTGAGGGGCACCGACGGCCTTGTTTCTAGGACCAGCTCAACGTGACTTGGGCGCGAGCCGGCCCGTGCGGTCATTGACGGACGAGCTGCCGTCTGTCTGACTTTTCCGCTAATCCTTGTGGTAGTAGAGGATCCCTGGATCTAATCTGCAAGAGAGTCCAATACGTCGAATCAAACCGCGCCAGACTCAGACCAGCCTGGACAGGGTCCCAAGTCCCGGTCCCTGCCGGCGACCGGTCCAGGGCCACTAGGGCCACTGTCGCCGGGGCAGTTTCGGGAGGGCCAGTTTCAGGGCGACCCGGGACAGGCGACTGCTCCCGGGCCAACTCAAAGTGACTTGGGCGCAAGCCGGCCCAAGCGGCAATTAACGGACTAGCTGCCATATTTCTGATTTTTCCGTTAATCCTTGTTTGTGGTCGTAGAAAATCTTGTAAGTGGTCCTGGGTTTGCGGACGTGTTTCAGGACCGGTCCTTGTGACTTTTCCCTTAATGCGCCAAGGGTCGGCGGCAGCAGGCGGGAGCCTGGTTATATTTCCTTTGGTTCTCCTTCAAAGCAACCACTGCAAAGGAAACCCAGGATTTCGATTGGGGACCTTTTGGATTACATGGAGATTCAT